TCAAATCGTTATGCAATAGATTTATATTCGAAAAATTTATGTGTTTGACATGAGCGAAGTTGAGTTGTACGTATTCAGGCCAAATGGATAGTTAAATCTTAAATAATGGGAACACATTTCCATGCGAACAAGCATAAAATTCGTAGGAAGCGGTCAATAAAAAAATATGAATTTGTCATCGCTAAAGAAGATACACATGGCAACATTTTAAACATTTCGATTTATTTATATCTTTGTTATACTTGCTTCACGAAACCAAAATTCACTTTCTCGCTTTTTTTGATCTACTTAAATCGCGATTAATGACATCTTTCTCATTCGGAATTTAAAATTTAAATATGGATTATATTTTGATATTTAAATTAGTTAAAGTGTTCATTTCAAAGTGACCGAGCTATTTAGACAGTAGTCAAAATAAACAGATGACTTTGACGCACAAAAGAAAATTGAATTGTCATTGCCGGAGTCATTCAATGTACTCCCTTTTGTTGAATCATTTCGAATTAACCGAAACATGTGATTCACAAGTACATTTGCGACGAATTTATTTTGTTTGTTTGTCGACGAGTGCAGACAAAGCCATCTAAATGACACATGTAACCCTTTGAATAACAAAATCCACATCGTTTGTCGAGTTCAATGGATCGAATCAACATAGCTCACGTTTTGTTCTTTTATTTTCCATTTTTCATCGCCGAATTTTGACAGATCGTTTTTGTAACTTTCAGTTTTAAGAAATTGCGTTTGAAAATGAGTAATATTTATCGTTTCAGACACTCTACGGTTATTAGTTGAAACGTTTTCACCAGCGTACTCGAACACTGTAGTGTTCGACTGTGTTTAGAGACGGAAACTCCAAAATAAGTATGATTAATAGATTGAAACGTATGATTAACGTTGAATGTGACATTGGCGCGATTGACATTCAAATCAGTAAAATTAGCACAAATTTCGGTGTTCGCAGATTGACATCACTTCGTTAACGCTTCACGATACCATCTCGATGTCACTATTAGATTAAATTCCTGTCAAAATTCTGAATAATTCAATGCTCATCAATTTTCTAATCATCTCTTTGGCAAATAGTTATCCAAAATAGCCGATCAATCGAAAGAAACTCTCATAAAATAAACATACCATAAATAAATTTGCGATCGTGATAATTAACTTGACAGTGACATGTATTCAAGTGCCAAAATAAACTTGAGCCACGTTGGCTGTCACATTTAGCACACGATTATTGCACCGATTTAAATTAAGCCGGCTTCAATATGTGAATACAAATCAGGTATCGATTCGCATGAATTGTGTATGAATATTGAATATCGATACACAGGAACAGGTGACAAATTTTCGACGATTTCATTGCGTAAAATCAGCTTATAAGTCACGTAACAAAACCAAACAGACTTCACTCAAAACACATTCATTCAGTGTAAAGTCAATAGTCTCCTTTTAGATTCGCATTTCTTATGGAAAAAATAAATAAATGAAGTTTTGTCAAACAATAATGACGAAGTTAAACGGAAAAAACGTATTTGCTTAGCCTTAGGTGTACAACAAAAAAATATGTACAGACTGGCTCATGTGTTCCATCGAAAGTCACACCTTTTTGCTATGCAAATAGCACGTGTGCAGTCTTCTATCGCGCGATTTCGATAATACTTTCAAAATTTGCGACATCACCACAGCGACCATATTTGCTTTTATGCGTATCACATCGATTTTTTACATCAAATATAAACAGATTTGGCAATCTAAAGTAAAAGATCCGCGCACAAATATCAAATAATCAGCGAAAATTTATTCATTTATTCGTCTGTGTTGAAGCTCTTTTCATCTGTGATGATACTTTTTCTCGAGCATTTCGAAATTCCACAATGAAGTAATAAAAGGTGATATATTTGTATGCGGCGTGCGAAAGAACCACATCAATTTCTCGGAATTAATAACACAAAGAATAAAACAGGCCTAATAAAATGTGATGAAAAATTGAAAAGATCCAACAAAACACGCATAACAGAAACGCATTGCCACCGAACTGGAACAGGCGAGTCTTTTAATTTCGAGCAAATAATCCACTTATGATTAGATTCTTTTGTATTTTTCTGTACGAAAATGCCAAATTGCCTGTGAGTTAAATTCACTTTCAAGTTGAATGTAATCCAAATAAATGGCGAATCGTGCCTATGACGCGTGTGAACAATAATAAAATGAATAAATTTTCGTTTTGTTGCGTGAGAATGTCAATGTATTATCCAAAAATGGTTCGCACCATTTTGTGCTCGACTGACATTCGTTGAACGATTTAGATGTGAATTGACCCTGGACACAGTGTTTTGAATATATATATATTACACACGAATTGCTTACGTTTAATTCAACCAAAATAAATTGAATATCAGTTCGATGATAAGTCTCCGGCCCACATTCCGAAGGCAACGCCATCGAAGACAATGACATCGGCTCATAGAGTAAATAAATAATTCGATTGGGTTTATTTTTCATTTGTTTCTTTACAAATGTGTCGAGTCTATAATTCCTTTTGGATTCAGTTTAATCGGTGACTCTTTTGTTTCGGATAAACAAAAACCGATAATGTTAAAGTTTAATTCAAAATAAACATTTTTTTTTGTACACAATTTCCATCGGCAGATATTCGAACAGCGGTCAATGGCCATAAATAATAAAAGCCATTACTCCAAAAGAAAAACATTTAAAATAATCGAATTGTTGTTTCAATTGTGCTCATGTCGGTGCACGTCGACAAGATGAAATGTAAGGATAAGCAACACAAGATGCTGAATTCAAGATTAATTTTAAATTAAACAGGAACAATGTGATTGTGATAAAAGTCAAGATGAACTTTCCTTTACATTAAACACCGATTCCGTTGGAATTGCAAAAACGACAGCCGAAATCGTTCGACCCACTTACGGAAATTGCGCGCAAACACAATTTTTTTTGGTTGATAGGCTTCACGAACAGACGTGGGCATTTATACTGAAAATGACTCAATATCACATCACTCTCTTCTGTTTGTGAATACATTTTTTTAATCAAGTTGTATTCTTAATTAAACCGAGTTTTACGCGAAGATCGTGAGGAAAACATGAACATTTAAATCGAGTACAATATGGAATTGGCGTGCGATATGCATCAAATCATGAATCATGATTAAAATAGTAGCAGAAAAAAAAAACATATGACCCGAAAAACGAATCGACTAAAATAGTAATGCGGTTCATTTTGAATGCAAGTAGGTGACAATCTCAGTGTCGCTTTGTTCAGCAGTACATCCATTCGTTTGAAATATTGCACAAATTCAAAACATTTTGCTATACAAATTGAAATCATCTAATTCAAGAACTAAACGCTTTCATAACGAATGGCAAAACTAAAAAGATATTGATCATCTCGAATAATTTAAACGAAAAATGTTTAAAGCAAACAAGACGACAAGCAAAGGAGCCGAAATGTTTCGTTTTTTTTTTCGTTGGTTTCACAACAAATGTGATTGGAATTGGAGGTAGAAGAAATCGAGATGCGATCAGAACATGTTGTTTTAGCTTCCAATATTACCATATTTTGTGAATTTAGTACCCACTATTTCATTTCAAATATGGAATATTCACCATAAAGAATGCCAAAGAACAACACTATCAAAAGCTATTTTTAATAAATGCCAACTCTTTTTTTTGTGTGAACATTTGAATGTGCCAAAATTGAAGGACCGGACGAGAAAGACGTTTTTCATTCATAGGTTTTTTTATGCGATTCGAACGATTTATTTAGACGTTTTAATATGAAAAACAACATATTTCGATGGATTTGATCTCAAACATAAGCACATTAAAATGGGAAAAACCAAGCTGTGACAGTAGGACATAAATAATGACATCGTATTTTATGTTCAAATTCAAATGTTCTTTGGATGACTTTGAATGTACAAGGGTGAGGCAGAGAGAGAGAGAGAGAGAGAGAGAGAGAGAGAGAGAGAGAGTAATAATAAGAATTTGGAGATTTATTTGTCAGAGTATTGTCGTATGAAAGTCGTTTGACTGAAACATATTACCGACCGATTGTTTATGACACAGACACCACAGTCAAATAATGTACTACAGTGTGATATAGTGATGATAAAGCTCCGAAAACTCATCGCAATATTCATTGCAAAGTGGGAATTTTTCGCCACCACCGAGTGAGATATGCCGAACTCAATATTTTGGCACAAATTTATGTCTCATAAAGTGTAAGTCTGCAACAGTTGCTGTTTAGGTGAGAACATAAATATGAACAACAAGTCCATAACAAATGATAATGCCCAATGAAATGTTTCTGTTTTCATTTTTCACTTAGTTAAGTGTTATTTTTGTTTTTCGTTTGTCTCTCATTCAAACATCTTGTTCTAATGGCATTTTTTGTCTTCTTGAAAATTGGCTGTGTTCTTCGTCTGCATTTCTCAGAATCTCCATAGAATTTGTACAAATTTGCCATATTTTATGTAACACGAATGTATGTCGCAACGCAGAAAGTGAATTCGTTGTAGGTGGTTATTTATTCTTGATTATGTTTTTTCGGACTTTTCTCTTTGTCTCTTTCTGATTCTTTTTTTTTCTTTTTCATTTCAAATAAGTAGACGTAATGCTCCGTGTATTTCTTTTGAATGGTACAAAACTCTTTCTTTCAGTCTTTAATAATGTTTCGGTTGTATCGCACCTTTTTTGGGAGCCTTTACTTCGACCAATGAAAAATATTGTCACACAAAGAGCGAGCTTCGCACAAAAGCGATGCCAAATTTAGATAAAAAAGACGTAGCCTTAATCCTTGGTATTGACCCCAAGCGAAGCAAGAATAATAGAATTATCACAACCGTGCAACATCCAGCATCAAATGCAAGAAGCAGAAACAATCTGATTATGTGAGTGAATTCATGTTTAAATGAAACGACGAGATAAAGAAGTCGCATGGAAATGAACAAATTGTAAAACTTAAATCACCTGCATGTATCAGCGCGTAGTTGACAGTAATCCACAAATATAAACATATACACAGAGCATAAAACTGTAAACCAACAGCATGAAATTGCTGATGAAGTCGTAAAAAACACAAATATATTTTCCACTTCGTTTCGAATGCGAAAAAAAGCGATTTACAGCGAAAGTCAGCACATTAATCACTTCACTGAAGGGGAAAGAATCAGTTACAGGTTGATTATAATTTCGGCATTAATCTTTTACAGAGAACGTTTCGGTTGCAGTTGAATTTTCATCTCACTAAAGCACATTACACTCGCATATACCAATTATGTGGGTGTGGAACTTTTAATCCCAAGCCTTTTAATTTTGAATTAATTCCAACGTGATTCTTTTTTATTATTATTATTTGCTCTTACTCTCAACTGCAATCACGCAAGTAACAAATGTGTGCTCCGTTAGCATTGGCAATGTGTTGAATTGTGGTTTGACTGCTTGAAATTGCACCACTTTTCGTTTATTGATTGACAATCTGGTTTGGTTCGCGTCACAATTAATTTGTCCACTTAACTCAAGGCACACACATTGTCATATCAACAGCGGCTATTTTCTGATCTAATTTTATTAATTGCCACAATAACCTGTAACATTTACATTTGGATCTATCACTACAATCAAAGTTTAACTTTTAAAATGAAATAAAAAAAAATCCAATTCGTTGTATTTGGCAAGTGAAACTTGTCACTTATTGTCTTTTCTATCACATTTTAATTTATTTCGAATTCATTAACTGTGCCGTTTTTTGCGTTTTTTTTTCGGCGCGTGTGGGTTTTGTTTGCGTGGAACAATTTCCGTTGATTGCTTGACAAATTGAAACAAAAAAAAGGAACAAATTCAATCGCGCTAATTGAACGCACGATTTTGTCGTGATAAGCGATCGCTACGAAGAAATGTTCACTACTTTTTAAATCGTTAAATTTTTCGATGGTTTCGGAAGTTGAAGTTACCGATGCAAGTAACACGTTACGACTGATTTCTCGCACGGGATCATTAGATCATAACAGCGAGCGTTCGATACACAAATCGTCAAACAGAAGAGAGATACAAAAAACAATAACAACAACAACAAAAAAACACGACGAAAAACCACATTCGGCTTCGCCGTGTTTGTGTGAAACGTAACATACGATCGGTGAATGAAAACAAATCACTTGCTCAGCGTTCACAGCAGTAGAAACAGAGTCGAACGCGAGCGACTAGTAGTTGCAATACCTGCAAAAATATGAATAAACGTTCCAGTGACAACGATAACAACAACAACGAAAAGCAGGCAGCTCGGCGGTGGCGGCGGCGACAGTAGTAGTAGTTATAGTAACGCCTGATCACCATGTTTTTGAAATTATATGTATACAAAAACGATCTCAGATTAAAATTATAATGTATTCATTTTACACCATTTGTTGTGAATGAAACCACAATGATCGGTCCGGTATGCGGCATTTATTTATGCACATTTCACGTTCAACATCAATAAAAATCACTCAAATTTATATGTATATGATTGTAATTACAGTTTGCATTAGTGTGTTATTTTTAAATGTTCATGGATAGCGTTGAAATGATGTAAAAATAACACGCTTTTGTGCACATATCACGATTGCGATATGCCATTTGAATTGCGTTGACATCGAGCAATGGTAAACACGACGGCAATGCGTCGATGGCAAACCGCCGTTCGATGTCAATTCGTATTCGTTGATAAATGGCTGGAAACATGTAATACGGTATTAGAACGGTGCTTATGCAGTATTCATTTTGTGTATTCTATATGGTTCATAAGTTTACACGCAAAAAAAAGTTTATTACTAAATACACGGCAATACAATACTCATTTAGATGAAATGTTTAAGTAAACACGGGCGGAGAAAGAGAGAACGATTGAAACAAGTGGCAAAAGAATGAAAACATATTTACATAAATAAATGTTCAATGCGATCGAATCGTTTGATGTTGTTCTCTCTCTCTCTCACTCTATCGCTCTCTCTTGTGTGTGTGTTGCGGTTGATGTATGGCGACGATAACAATGACGCCGATTGAGAGATTGATGAAAGCAGCCACTTCAAACGAATGCTGAATAAGCAGGTACAACACATAACCTGTTGACCATATTGCCATGTAATGATCTCAGTTGATTGAATATGTTTGCTATTTACATTTTGTTTGGCATTTTATATTGCTGCCTTCATTTTATGTTTGACGTTTATTTTATTTACAAACACATTTCAAACTGCCAGCATATAAACAAACCGTTCAATGAATAAGCAAATAAAACCACAAATTGTTGATGAATCTATTCGGAAACCGAACGGAAATTGCTTACTCTCCCAAAACTAGCACAAGTGGAAAAGCAATCAATTATTATCAACGTATGACCAAATTATTCGATGTTAGATTTATCTTATTTTTTTAGTTTTGAAAATTCCGATGGATTCCACATCGATTACCTCCATGAATTATAAAAAATTCATGCAAATTGTTTGTCATTCATTTGCATGTCGTATAAAAACTCATTGTAAAATTGTTTATTTGTCTACTTTTTTTTTGTTTGCACTAAAACTTGTTCAATACCTAAAATACTTTTCAAATACAATCAGGTGAATTGTTTTGCGTGAGTGGATGCTCAGCTGAATTGCGTTTTTTTCTACATGAATTCGATTTGTTTACTTCCTTTTCGAACTTGAGGCGATTATTTGCATACAGTTTGCTCGTTTATGAGATAAACAGATTGAGAGTTGTCATCGACTTAACACGTGAGCCAATTAGATCTAATAAGCTCTAACAAGCTGTTGATGAGTGTGTTTTTTTTTATTTCGCCGCACTTCTCTTCTCATTATATTTGAATTGCGATGACCGTGCTCATGATTTGATTCAAACAAATCAATGACAATGGCGTTTTTTTTGTTGTTGATCCACAAATGACCACATTTCTTGTTCACCTGATTCGATGGTTAATTCTGGTTCTGCTAAAACTGTCAATTTCATTTAAAATTGTGTGGGATCAGTTGTTGTCACTGAACTCACAATAATATTCTCTATTTCAATCAGCTATATCCGTATGAATATCAGTGTGAAGCAGAACAACGAACGCATAGAGACCATTTCATTTGGCTTGAATCGTTACTCGTCCCACACGCACTCGTCTCCATGGCATATAGTTGCAGAAAAAATCAGTTTTTATTGAGTTCGCAAACCACTTTAAATTAAAATTGTCCAAAGTAAGACACCAAGTTTCAAAAGGAATTAAAACAAAGACATATAAACGCCGCCAAATGAGCTGTGAGCGTAAACTCATGAGACGGCTAAAAATCGCCAACGACACAAACACTAGAAACTGGAAGCAAAATAGAGAGCGACAGACAGAGAGAAGAAGAGGGAGGGAGTCGAAGCAACCCAACATTCCCACGCATGTCACTTTATCTATTTATTCGCATATAAATGACCAATTTTTTATATACCGAATCTGTTTATAAAATAACGACGCACTGTTTATTTTTAAATACACTTTGTCTTCAGTTCCATTTTAATTAAATATGTGTATTCGCATTAAGAAAAAAAAAAACAAATGAATGAAATGATACACACGGTATCTACACATCTCTACCTATCTATTTGTAAACGGTTAATCTCTGTGTTTTTAAATACGCATATCATTCAGTTTTTCCGAGGCGACTTGCTGTGATGGTGCTGTTTGTATTTGGATATTGACCGAAAATGATGTTAACTTACGTTTGAATTGAATTTTGTTTAATTAAGAGAGTGGCCGTTGCATCGACAGTCGCAATGTCTTCTGAATGAGGTCGGAATTTCAAATAAATCGACAAAGAGAGTGAAATGTGAATGGAACAAAATTAATTAATTCAGATGATGTTGCTGCCGCAATGTGTGTTTGAGGAACAAACGGTGTCTTTTTTCTACGGCATAGTATATACACATCTGGACATGGACTTTACACGGTTCACCAACACGAGCGGTATTTTGTTTGTGATTGGGAAATGTTCATCTTTTTTATTTCATCGTTTTACGAACGACGCATCGCTAATGACACCATTATATTTTTTTTCGCAATTTTTTTGTTGCCATGACCAATCATTATGGGTTGCAGACTATCTAAAGAATGCAGCTAATACAAAATTGTAACCAAAGTTGTTACCAATAATTAGCAATTTTCTTGTTTGAATGTAATGGTAACCGAACAAATACCAAATACGCTCTCTAGGCGCTGCAAGTTTTTTTTCTACTTCAATATCGAATGCTGTAGTCTCCATCGATTGACCGATTATTGGTATCGATGGTCTTTTTTTCTAGTTTGGCGGCACCAGCTATTGTATGCGCTTAAATTAAAAGAGAGAAAATTGCATTGGCATATTTTGTTGTAATGTCAAGCCACACAAACAACAACTGGCTCGCTGAAACAAGTGGGCATTTTCATGCATTTATTACAACAAAATTGCATTGATTTTACAACTAACGAGATGTAATCGAAACGGTTTTTATTTTTCGTAAATGCTTCAATAAACAAACGTGCATTGGGAATTCAAACGGGATTTTTCGAAATATTAAGGGAATTCGGATAATTTTACGTGAGTTACAGACTTTTATTTCCATTTAAAGTTCACCAAATTAAAGCCATTTGAATGGCTTTAGTTTTTGCTCTTTTACTTTATATTTGTCATGGCTTACGAGATTGCTAAGAGACACTGAACAACTGCACGTTTTCAGTGCGCTCTCTGTGCTACTGATATCGGTTGAATTGATATCGGCTTTTATATGAGCTATCTCAAAAAGTCCGGCAAAACAAAGATAAACTGGATACAAACTTGGACGTAACAAGTCCCAAAGAGTATTCTATATTCGTCTGAATTAGATGCATTCGATTTGAGCACAAAGAGATTTATGTGCGAACTTAAAGTATATATATACAAGTTTTGCTTCGATGACTTTTTTTTTGTTAAATTGACGATGAACCCAAGCAGAAAATGAGAATTTGGAAATTGCCATTTTTTAATCGTCGCTTTTTTATTTTTGCTTGATGACTTTGCCGAAAAGCGAGCGTCCCGTACATAAACAAATGAATTAAATTGTGCAGGTTTTTGTACAAATAATATAGAAATTGTGTCTGCGATAATCAATAATAAATCAACTTACCATGGATGTAGTGATCAGAGGTGACCGCATGATTGATATGCTTGTAACGCGATTTAAACCTGTAAAGCTATTATCATTAGAGCATGACAAAAGTGTGTGGCTTGATTGTGTGAGCGATTATTATTTTTTTTTTGCATTCAGAATTTTGTCGAAACGCAGTTCTCGCGGGCTTATTCTTTGACCTTGTTATATCTTAATGCGGAACAAATGAGATAAACATCGACAAATCAAAATGGAGTGCAATAAGAATAATAAATCGCATCCTTGAGCGATGCCCACGATGTTTATACTCTCCCAAAAAGTCATCAAGATTTGGGTGAATTGTCTTCTATTGAAAATCCATTAAAATAAACTTATTTGACACTCAGCCGCATTTCGAGTGATTGGTTGTTTGTGTCAATAGGCAAGTACTTACAGTGTGTGTGTGTTTGTGTGGTTACTTTTTTTCAGATTTTATGCCAAATATTTCGAATACTTTTGGAAATATTACATATTTTGTACAATTTTTATTCATATTTCATGTGTGCATAACATAAGAAGTTTTAACGGCCCACACTTTTGATTCGTTTTCAATTTGAAACGCTAAAATTGATTCAAAAACCCACTGCAGTTCAATGGAACATAAAATGGCTTTGTCTGTTGTAGATGTCAACAAACTATTCTCATGTATATGTCCTTCTTTTAGCATGAAGATCCAACGCCTACTACATTTATTGCAAATCCATTATAATTGCCACTCTGATGCCAGCAGATTTTATTGTGCTCACGCATTATAATTGCCATACGTTATGGTGGGCTTCACTGGGTTTGCGACCAACGATTTATGATCTAATAGCATACCTGATCGTTTGTATTAATTATGTAACGGATGACATCGATTGCTTTCGATTTCCTTAATAAACACATAAATTCACCTTCACTACCAATTTCGTTGGTATACGAACGAAAAATGCAAATACCTTGCCATAAAAGAAAATATGTATTAAATTACCATATTAAGAAATAGAAACAACAATGGATTTATTCTCAAACGTGAAGCGATTCATTTAATTTAGTGATTTTGAGGTAGATGTACAAGATTTACTACACATAACTAATTTAAATGGTTTTATCATTTTTGGTACGAAAAGTGTCACACTAGAAAAAAAAAAGAAAATTTGGTATTTGGAATGTTTCTTAATAAATAAAGATTGACTAGTTTTAGTCTTTTTTGGATCTTCCTTTCTTGGCTGGCGCTTTTTTCTTTGTTCCGCTCGATGGTTTCGGTTTTGCTTGTTGCAGCCGTCGAAAACGGACAATCGTCAAAACGGTGATAATGACATTGGTGAAATACAAGCCGATGCAAATAATACACAATTCTTGAATCTCGAAGAGCAGCACATATGCCAACCATGCCAAAACTGCGTTTGATAAGAACAACAGGACCGCTTGAGCTTTGACGGTCAACGAACTCGTTGAAAAACCTTTTAAAAAAGGGAAAAACAAAATAAACATGCACTTAGACAAAACAAATCGTGTATAAATGTAAACAATTCAAAATGTATGGCGAAAAAACCGGAATGACTGATAATATTTGTAAACAACTTAAACGAAGCTGATATCAAAATATCATCGCTTTGCGTCGAACAAAGTGGATAAAGTGAACAAATACGACGAAAAAAAAACAATTGTTGAACAAAACCAAAATGAATTAATGTAAAAACGCTGTATTCGACTTATATTGCATTCAACATGAACAAATAAGACTTTCGTGGCATTTGAATGATCGAGAAAAAAACACAACAAAATCGCCAAATCTCTTTGTAACGCCTTCTGTTTCTGTTATTTTCATTCAATTCTTTTCACTTGTTGGTATTAGCTGATTCTTTATTTTGCTTGTCTTGTGCGCCGCAACGACTGTGTTCAACAAACACGAAAAACTCCACATTCAATTTTGCATTATATGTTTTTGCATTCAAGTGCATGCTAACAAGAGCTTAAAATATTCTCACACTTGCTTCGTTCCTATTTAATATACACTGAACGCACGATTCATGTTGTACGCGATACAAAAGTGTACACCAACGAATTGCTACAAATTGCTGTGCGCACTTCTTTTTTTTCTTAATAGAAAAACATGTAACAAGCTCTAGCGATCCGAATTACAAAAATTGTTATTATTCCTGCATTTGCATCTTTTAGCTCCTTCATTTGGCTGTGTTTTGCCGATTTTTTCCTTTTATCGAGCGCATGTCGCAAGCTATACGGATATCGTTGTGCTATTTGTTCATAAACAAGATTTTTAATACGATTATGTAGATTACCAATAACTTTTGTTATTTTGTTATTAAACCAAGTTTTTAGAATGAATAAAGCGAAATCATAAAACCTAAATGAAAAAAACAGTGAAAAGAAATAGTGGCCAAAGAAATCTGTTTGCGTTTGTGTACAAGAGATTTTATACATATTAAAAATTGTGCAGCAGCAGCTTTCATTCTATAGATTTCGCAGCGCAGGTGCAACATGTACACACGATGTGTTTACGTCTGACTTACGTGTGTCTTTTATGGTTTTTGATTATTTTCGTCTCATTGTTGCGTTGAATAGGATTTTTATTATGTTAACACAGCGATTGAAATGGTGTGTGAATTTATGCGGCTTCAAATAATTTGCATACACTTGATAATTTGAAAAGGCACCAAACTGGTAAGTGGAAGGAATATATGGTATTGAGACTGCGGTTCGGAATAGCGATCCCCCCACGCACGTGCCCAAACACGTTCTTGAACCTCGGAACCGGTGCCATACTTATTTTATAGCGCAAAATAGAGCAAAATACTTATTAGTATACGAATGATAATTACCCAAGATTAATTCGATCGTGTAAAACAAAAGACCAAATATGCCATTGGATACGTTGAGAAATGAATCGTTTCCGAGGTATGGAGCAATCAAGCCAAAACCACTACTATACCTACATAATGCAAAAGAGAAAAAAAAACAAGATGGCAATAAGTGAAAAAGTTGTTTACTCTTTGTACAACTCAGGTGTGTGTACTTACTCGGATTGAAGAACTTTGGTGCAGCTAGAGTAACCGCTAATATCGCACCACGCTTCGTATTCATCATCCTCTTCCAATGTAATGGCCAAATAGTACGAGTTTAGCGATAGCGCCAAACCAATGACGCATGCAATTGCAATAAACGTCGACAATTGCTTAACAGATGCAGCCATCTCAAATGTCGTCACTCCTCTATGGTCTAAAGGAAAAAACGAAACGAACGAAGAAAAAGAAACAGTCAGTTATAAAAATATCATATGGACAGGAGATGATTATCATGGTTGTCGATGTCATGTGTCGAAAGTTCAAGTATTCAACAGTTATTGAGTCGCTTCGATTTGTTTTAATGCGAAGATGTGATCTCATGACACTAGTGGCACAGGTGTCAAATTATGCACACGTTTATGTCGTACATTCAAATATGCACAAAGGGAGAAACGTTTACAGTCCTGCGGCAATAAAAAGCATTATCGCAACGCTTAAATCTCACCTCTCTTCGAAGATGCTGTGGAGAACATTTCAACAATTGAATATTGCTTCAAAGCAAAACAATCAAATCAACAATAATCGAAGAAGTGAGCAATGAAAACAGCACCTAGACCAACGATGCCAAACACAAAAAGACAAACTCATTTTAAATGACATGATGATGATGACGGTAAAACAGCCGTGAGCATCACAATATATCAGAATGAAAGTAGATTTCGATTTGGATTGCTTGCAGCAATCGCGTGTGCTTGCCCGTTGTCGTATTGAATATTGAACACGATGAAATATATAATATTATTATTGGTATTCATCTTTTTATTTTGTTTTTGTAACACTTACTATATTATGTTCAGTTCATTCAGCTTGATAATCATTTCTTTGCCGTGCATATAGTGTCGTTGAATTTAATATGTTTATGTATCGATATAGTTTACTATATACACACTATTGCCGTTGATTGCAGGTAAATAAATAATATCAACGGAACATGTTTATAAGAGCGAGAGAGATCCAATAAAACTTTTCGAGAGCGCTGTGTGTCGACTTAACCATTTGGCCTGTCATATGAAATTATATTCACAAAACTCACCGCTTCGTTGGTCGTTATATTCATGAATCACAGTTCGTTCTCATAAACATCATACACATGTACACTTGATCTCTCTCGCGTGTGTTCAACCAAACAACCAACAAAAATGAATGAGAGCAACGGGAATTGATTTTTCAATAAAATAAATATTTTGCATGACTTCAGGCGTTTTAAGTATAATTTGCACTTCGTTCGAAAAAGAAACAACTCTCGTCTGCGAAATGGCATTGCATAGGGGAATCGAAAATATGAATAATGTTAAAGGTTAAATTATGTTTTGCATTGGTGGTAACGGTGGCGCATCATTTCATCAATTGTAAGCTATCGTAACAACAAACGTTCATGCAATACAGCGTATAAGGTTCAGGTGAGTGAATCACAGCAATGAAATCCCTACTACCGTGCTAGATGGTGTCGACACGAGTGGACGGATTTTTAAATTTATTTGAACGACGCCATGTTACTATACTTGTCCATTACAACGTACATGTAACAGAAGAAATACACAGTCCATGTCCTCGCTAGTGGACATAAACGATTTGAACCGTCAATGTGAACTAGATCAAGTATAGAACTTTACATAGGATCATATACGATGAATATGGATTACACAGTCTGTTTCAAAATACCGTCACCAATGTCGACACCATTTGACATCAAAATTTTGACAGTAAAAATATGTGTTATTGTTGTTGTCGTTTCATTGCTGTGGAGTGAATTATTTGCTTCAGTGACATTGACTTTTGGCCCATTTGAATCGAAAATGAACTGCCAGTAGCATATCAACTGATTATTATTTAAACAAAGTTATAAGGAAATGAAATTCGTGTTCGTAAATGAGAATGGCTAAAAATCAATGTACAATGTTGCAACATTGCATTGAATCATTTGCATATGCGACAAGAATAAACGCAATAAGTTACGAAAATTCATAAATGAGATTTAAATTAGAATTTTTGATCGAATTTCAAGTAGATTATTGACTATGTTTTCAACTCGAAATTTGCATAAATTTCGTGGGAAATGTGTTCATTTTGCTGGAATCAATTTATTCCAATTGTTAATTCAAAATGCAATTAGATATTAGTTTGAAACTAATTTCAATTTTCGTTTACCGCAATATGGTTCGATTCTATGCTTATTCATTCACATCCAATTCAATTGGGCTTCGATAAATTTTGAATGTACTTTGAATGCACGCAACAGCAAATTGAAAATCGATTGAAAGTTGTTTTTGTTGTTGCTCTGTCATAGCCAAAATTCCATTTGGATTGTGTATGTTTGTCGGATGAATTTTCAAACCGATTTTTCCATTTCGAATTGAAAATGAAATAAAGGGGAATGTGATTTGTTTAGCGCGTACTCAGATTAGATTTTGATTAGCCGCGAATCAAAAATCGTGAATGGGAAAGAAACGACGATTAATTCACGTGATTTCTGTAGATCTCGGTCGAAAATGTGTGTATTTGATACAAACATGTTTAATCCCCATAAAAAACGCCATTTATTTTGATAAATTCAAACAACCACAGATAATACGTTGAAATAGAGCATGACATCAATTCAAATGTTTGTTTTCAACTGGAAAATACTTCAAAGTCCCATTAATGTCAGAACAAAATGTCAAACACCACAAATATTTCGTATAAATTTTGATCTGTGGGCAACAAGAAGATTTCCATTATAATAAAATAAGGAAATTTTTTGCCAAATTTTACTCCATCTATCTGCTTTCATTCATATCTTAAGTTTTCCCAAAATTTATACAAAAACATTCCTTGGAAAGTGGCATTTATTTTTATAAAATACCATTAAAAATTTGAAAAAAAAAAACTTCCAAGTGATAATTGTGAATACCACATTTCAAAGTCATTAAAATAACTCAAGTAAGAACAAAATACGAGAGTACTTCATACTTCTAAATGACGCACTGCAAACAAATTTACGTAAATTTTAATATTCATTTTGAATCGAAGCGTATTCAGTCCATGTGTACAGTCGTCGTAAAGGCTAATGCCTTACTGAAGAAAAAAAACAAGAGTTTCAACGCTGTAGTAATCAGTCGACTATCGTTTGCGACAACATTGTTCAATCGCTGTGTTCGGCGTCTTTCATTGTATGTGTAAACACTTCAGCGCATGTATATGTGTGCGTGCGTGTGTGTGTTTTCGTTTGTTTATATCACTTTATACTCTATTGTATTCAACGTTGCGCAGGGTTGCAACTGTTAACCGAAATAAATATTTAAATCGATGCTCAAACACTGAACTTCAAGTGTTGTGATTTTTTTATTTTGCAGATGCTAAAATGCTTGCTTAAAATCCTTTTGTTTTAATTTTATTGATTAAAAAAATGGACGAGTCTTCGGAAGAATAAAAATGAAAATGAGTCGTCGGTAGTTGCATACATCCAAACTGAATGTAACACATGTCAAGCAAGTTGAATTGAAAGTTGTTACCAACAGAAGAGAACTGAATATTTACACTAAATTTGTCTAACGATTTTTTGTTTATAGATTTGCACAAATTCAATGATCAATGAATACACACGAGCTACTGATAATTTTTGTTTGGATAAACAAATTTGAAACTTTTGAAATTGAATTCATAAAATCCAACATTCAAGATAAAAAAGAATAATATTAACGGATACTTTACACAAAATACAATGAAATGAAAAACATAAACAAACAAATGCAGATGCATAACATACTTTATGATTGGACACTTCAATAAAATAAACCGAACTATAATATTAAATATTGTTTTGTTTGCTTAAAAACGTACAATATCATTTTTATTAATGGGTCGATTAAATGTTCTTATGACATAATCTAATTCCATATTTTATACGCATCATGCAAAATAACGCTAATTGAATGCCGTAATTTGCTGAAAAACTATAACGTAAAAACACTCATAAGATAGTATTTAAATTACCTGAACGAGACGAAAAAAATTGTTCACGCCAATTGTAAATCGTTCACTTGAATGCGAATTACCAAAAGTGGATAAAATGTATGGTGTATGGATCACGTAAAAAAAACCGTTGTGCCTATACGATGCGAGATTTGTTTTGTTTTGCGCTTGGAGACGCCCGAGTATGCCGTTTGCTTTCACGTTTGTTTATGATTACTGTTATTATTTCGATTTCATTTGATGCCAAAATCGCGAGATTTTTCGATTTTGTACGATGGCAACACTGCGCTAGGCATATCGGCAACTGTAAAAATATAAAATATACCACAACGATACACGCACACATCTAAACGATAAATTCTTTACATTCGTAACGAACATCAGATTAAAGACGAAAAACACACGTATTTATTGACACACACTCACTCGCGAGCACCAACACATTCAAAACGCGTGTATTTCTATTCATCGTTAGATGAGACGTTGACGCTTCTCACCAATACACAAACTCGCATCGACTGCCACAATTCATTGCAAAAACGTACATCTGCGTGTGTGGTGAACGGCTGTGACTGAATATCGAACGTACTAAAGTGAACACGTACACATACACACCATGCACATCGCAACAGCGGATATCTCGACACACACGCACACAGCCACAATCACTTACACCATTGTGGAAAATGAAAAAGAAGAACGAATCGCAGCAGAACAGCGCTTCAGCCAGAATGAGTAAAAAAGAAAAAAATAAGCATTCACAGTGTTTCATGTTATAGAGCACAGCAGTGTGTATATATCATAAAATGTAATCTGCCAAAGAGGAGATTTTGTGTTGGCCGTCATTTTGCGAATTCGATCAATGTTTTTGCATTTTTCACATCATTTTTTGGTGATATATTTATTGAAAGTGCATTCAAACGATTTGTGAATGGTTATATTTTCTGAATTGTATAAATTCAATTGAGTTTCGACGGATCTATGTGGTAAAAATACGAAGTGAAAAGTTAAAAAGCATACTCTTGCTCTATGAAACAGTGGAACTTATATCAAAAATACACACAAGTCGAAGAACTAACAGTGAGAGAGAAAGAAATAAAAAAAAAGAGTTTTTTCCGTGTTGTTCGTTCTGTTTCATGATATATTTTTTTGGTTGCTATTACTGATGTTACAAACTTTCTGTGATTCCAAATGGAAAATATAAGAATGTGTTCGTGAAAAAAAATGTGTACATGAAAGCAATAAAGAATTTCATGTTAATCCGCATTTAATTGAGAAATTTCGGTGTGAATACAGTGTGTGAATTTTAAGAAAGTGAATCCACAATAAGAACTGCATTTTATGGTGTTGCAATAAACAAATAGGCTGGACAAATGATTTTGAGACACAAACCAATGCAGTGTTAAACCACAAATACTCAGAAATAATCGACAATCGACACTTTTTTGTGCAAATTCATTGAGAAAGTTCATAGTAATAACTATATCGGATTGAAGACTGTTCGTGCGTGCATTTGCATCATCGTCTGTGCAATCATTCATAGCAATTGGTGCTATGTGTGTGCATTATTTCATTCAAATTCGTGTCAACATTTGTCAATAATATTGTGCGTTTTTTTCTTCATTAAAGCGGACACTGTATTGGACGTTAATTCAACAAATCGACGGCCGTATCGAACAAATTGTGAGAAAAAATAAAGAGAAGAAACGAAGAAAAACCAACAATAATACGAGAAATATTCTCTTTCGTCTCTCGTAATCCATCGAGAGTGTGTATTGAAAGTGTGTACGCATAGCTGACACCAAGCGGCGCTGCTAGTCCTTCATAACATCGACATACACAACAAAAAAAAAACACACGAATATTTTCGATTCGGTTTACTTGGATATCATTTTTCTGTGTCTCAAAAAATTTGTCTTAGTTCCCGTGGCTGTCTTGGATCGCTTTACAGTTTCGTGTAATAATAATATGTGCTTCAATCGTATACATTTCAATTTCCATTGACATAAAAAATAAACAACGAGATACATGACGTGAGACAAATTAATGAACATTAGAAACAGTAGTTTTGCTTCGTTTGCTTATCTAGTGCAATTGGATTATGGTATCTTGTAATTGGAACACATTAATCTGAAGCGGAAATCAAAGTAAAAGTAAGCAACACATAAAAAAACACCGTCACCGAAAAAAAACTAGCCATTGTGAATGAACAACGTGTAATTTACGTTGAACTGAAAATAAACAAGTGAAATTTGCACATCAAATCGAATCGATTACTGAAAATTAAAAAAAGAATAACAAAAAATTTGTGTCGTATGCTATAAAAGAATTTACATTCAAGTGATTGACTAAACGATAACGATTGTTTACATGACGATAATGTTGACATCATTTTCCATGTAATTGTTCTTTTCGAAACGAAAAGCAAAACCAAGATATATTTTTTTTTAAAGTAAAAACAATTTGAATTGATCGCAAACGTAGGCAAATTCATTTTGGTGCTTGAATTGATTTTTCTCTTTCTTTTCACATCGAGTACACTGACGAACGCAAAACAAAATTATAAAGGAATATTTGACGTCAGCATTTGCTGTGAGTGTGAAATTTTATGAGCTTACTGCTCAATTTTGCAATCGATGCAGTTGTTGGGATTATTAGTGGATTCTAGTGTTGCAATCAAAAACGTTCATAAAGTATACATAGCACGTAAATCGAATCGAAATACGTCGAAATTGGCAAATCAACGTACTGAAACATCGTTCGACGCGTAAAATATCGGAATATTCGTGTTCGAACTACAGGCGAACTACACACATTCGTAAAATTCACAGACGACATTCGAAACGGAGGCATTGATGAAATGAATCTGTGCAATTTTCTTGTTTATGTAGCAAATTGAAAGTGAGTGTGTTGAATCGACAGGCAAAACTAGATAGAGTCGCCCCGGCCCATCTATTCATTCTATAGTAAAATATTTTGTCGTTGCTCGAAAGGAATTATATAGTGCATGTGTGAATGTGTGTGCGTGTGAATATTCGAATACCTAAATGAATTTGTAGTGAAATTACTTTTTAGAAAAATTGTTTTGTCTAAATGAAATTAACATCAGTAAGCGTGAAAACGTCGTAAAAATTCCATGAATGGTGATTAAAATTGTTTCAAAAATAAATTTTGTCGACATACCAAGAATGCTTACGTTTGCGCGTGTATAGCGTCTCAAGTAAATTATCAATTTGAAAACGATTAGAACAGCTGAAAAGAATTTACAAAATTTTGTTCGAAATAATATCGATATATTATATACAAGTGAAACAAGCGAATTTTCGATAAAACAAAATATAATGGTGGTTCAAAGTGTGGTCGATGTATTAAACGGAAAGAAATCATGGAAATTGATGTGAGAAAACGACGAAATCAACGTAATAAACGACGGGAGCGAGCTCAACGCATGCAGGCTGAGCGAGATCGAGATAGTGTGGATAGCGCTGGTAGCACAACGAATGTGAGCAATAGTGGCAGTGGAGCCAGCCGTGAAACTGGCAATGGTACAAGCACACCACAAAATACACCAGCAACTATAACAAATACATCGGCTGTGCATGATAGCGCTGATGAAGATATGGCTAATGCACCACCGATACGTGAAAAACCACCACCGCGCCGCAAAAAACAAAAAGAGCAGTCACCATTGCTCGAAGAAGATATAATCGATGGATTTGCAATATTGGCATTCAAAACCTACGAAGACTTAGAGGTAAACTATTTCTTTCCTTCTTTCGATTTTTTTCTTTTGTTTTGTTTCGATTTTCGACTAGTGTGCAGTGCAGTGCAATGCGTACATTTTGCGAATCGAACCAACCCAATTCGAAATTAGCACGGAGTATCGATATCGACATAAATATTGAAATTCAATTGAAGAACAGAGCATATGTGGAAGGCAATGTACACGTCTATTTCAAGTATAAATGTAATCAAATATTGATGCAATCCAAGCGAACGATATCAAGCAGTGACATTTCAAATTCTCAACGAATGTTATGCATTTGACTTTGGCTAATCCATAATTCAATTGAATTTCTGCCTTGAATTCGACCAATGCGCTTCGATAACAAATCTAATTTACGCCTGCTCGTAACACGTACACGTTTCATTTGTTCTGTTTCTTGGTTGTTTTTTTTTCGATTTTTTTTTTTTATTTTTTATCCAATGACTCTGACTCACATTTCAAATGTGTATATTTTAATTGAGCAATTTGTTGGCATTGCAAACGAACCGAAATGCGATTCCTGAGCACACATTTCTGCACATAAACTCGTTCATTGTTGTGTCGTCATTGGCCTTTGATACATTGTTGTGTGCATGTGTGTGTTATTTCTGTTTCATGCTTTATTTGCATCAGCAAAAATCGTTCTTATTGAAAACAAGTGATTAGACTACACAACGATTGTTTTTTATAAATTCATTTTTGTGTGTGCCGCGCGCTTGGCTAATGCGTTTTATTCGTGCCTTTGTGTTGCTATGTTTTATTCTTGTGTTTACTGACTGGATTGTCTTTCGTGACCTAATCCGAAAGCATCGACAGAACAATCGACATGATTGTGTGCTTGCGTCGATCTATGAAGTGAAATTATGTGGAAAATAGCATCAAATTGAAATGACCACGTAAAATATAATATTAATAAAAAACAACAACCAAAATTACAACGAATATGGTATTTTCGCTTGCCTTTTTTTCTGTTTCCTTCTCTTTCTCTCTCACTTTATCTGTCATTCTCCTATTTCTTTTCCACTCTGACTCGCGGCCGCCGTTTTTTTTACACCAATTTTTTGTTTTCGTTGGAAAACGAACAAAAAGCAGAAATAATCAAAGAAGAAGACGAACACGAATGAACGAACAAAAAAACCACTCGCCGAAAGCCAAAGACCGTTGAACGCAACTATAGTAGTAGTGCGCTCTGTGTATTCTGGCATACACAAAACGAAACGCACATTTCAACGACCAACTTGTTTCCACACAGCCAAATGCTTTGAAATGTGATTTTTCTTCAGTTTAAACGGCGAATTCAAATAGCGCGCAAAACATCACATTCGTTTACTTCTCGGCGCGCTCACTCTTTAGAAACTATTATTTTCTCGAAGTAAACGACATACGAACGAGAACAACAACAGCAGAAAAACTTACGATATAATTTCATACACTTCTTTCGGCTTTCCTCTATAAAACGCTATTTCAGCGCTCGCTCTCTGGCTCTCCCTCAGCGTGTACGTATAATTATTTGAAACATTGAAATAGAATAGAGTGCTACGGTCGGTAAACTTTCCAGTTGCTATTAGACTCGTCTTCGCTTTTTATTTTTTTCGCTACTCCCAACCATATACTTTTGCTGTGAAAATGCGAACGTACCTCGAAGTCTTTCCTCGCTAATAAATTGAACACTGCACGAGCAATCGTTTTATCTTCGATCGATACGAGTGAAGATGCAATGCATGTCAAACAAGAAACTTTTCTTTAAAACTCGATGAACAAAAAAAAAACGACGTCATACGACACCGCTTCATTTTAACAAACAGTTCAAAGTTAAGTCTAATTACGTTTTAAATTACTCACTTTAAAGAAAAAAACGTTGACGATTCCCTTTTTCTCTTTCTCGTTAATTTGATGTTTAAAATGTGTATTTTTTTCGTTTTCGGATTCAGTTCAAATTCCGATTTGATTTCGTTCAGTTTTTCCTAACTTAGATACATTCATTCAGTTAAATTCGTTAATAATCTCGTTCATTTGTGGTTCTAAAATTCTCATTAAAATTCATTTGAACGAACAACGATGGAAAAGAGAGAGATGACGCCGATTTTATCGAACGCGTTAAATAAAAGGAAGAAAAAAGTGGCCTGATTGACGGCTACCAATGAATATTTCTTTTCTTTCTTTTATTCCAAATCTAATTTATACAATCGTATCAATTTGAAGTTGAAAATTTGAATTCCGACCGATTTTAAGCGGTTATCCGTAACAGTCGAATAGTTCCTTTTCAACCATTCAAAATGAACAAAAAAAGCACGAACGAACTTCTATGAAAGTATCGACGAAGAAAAAAAGGAGATGAAAAAGTAACAAACATAAGTGTTCGTGTAGTTGATTTGTTCCAATCGCTATGTGCTCATTAAGATTTTTTTCACAGACGAAGCTATGCCCGAAGGTCAACAAACTCAATTTGATAATTACATTTGTTTGTTGGGCTGGTATGTACATTAATTCGTAGAATACACACTATACTTCAGTCCAATAGTGTGCATAAGCACTTCTGGGTCACACCGACAACATCATATGTTTGAATAACACTTTTTTTCGTTTAATGTTATCATTGCCGTTTGATCTCAATAAACTTGAGTTGAATTTAAGAGTGATGTTGACCAAACTAAAGCATTGTAATTGGTGTGATATTGTTAAAATGTGTGTGAATAAAATATTGTTTTTTTTTCCTAATCGAATGTGATTGAATAATGAATAGTTTCAAATAAATTTGAATCACACTCGCCAGATCACACAAAAAACACCGGATCAAATAAATTCTCGATCATCGATTTCGTTTAAACAACAAAGAGCGAATTTTAAAATGTGTGTAAGCGCATAGCTTTGTCTGTGTCACATTCATGCTGTCGATAAACCGCCAAAAATGATTTCTATCACACAAACTATTCAATGTATGTATCATCTGTTTTGTGAGGTCGTCGTTTCCATTCGCATTTTTTCCACTTTTTTTCATTATTTTTTTTTTTACTTCAGGTATTTCAAATTAATATTCAATTCTCTTTATTCTTTCCTTCGAACTTTGTTCCATCTATCCTTTTGCCATGTTCGTGAGCGTGTGTTTGTAGATTCTCATATGGTTTGTATCGCATATTTTCGATTTCGACCCAGGTTCGGGTACACAATGTGCGAATAAAAAGACGTAAACCGGTTTCTCAAAGCGTTATAGTTGTCTGGCGGCTAGTGCTAGTTTTTCATTTCTTTTCATATATTGCATATGAGCAAGTTTAAGTAACAGGGAATAAAATACACACACACACACACACACATTCATATCGGCTCCGACCATTCGAACGAACATTCACCATAAACAGTTAACTGCGTTTCTGAGGGTGAATCCAATCAAACTGTTGAAAAAGTAAACGAATAAAAAAAAAAGATGTAAACGGTACGTAAGGAAATAGGTAGATTAAAGTGCGTGATTTTAATTCAAAATTCATGCGACGAAGAAGGGAAGAAGGTAGTGAGCCGTTACGATGTGTCACCAAATGTAAAATAGTTTCACAAAGAAATCATTTTCAAATTGGGAAAATGACACGATTTCCAACACATTTACGTGTTCGGTTAAACTGGGATCGCTGCCAACTGCAAATCGCTGGGGTCGATTCCGTGTAAATGAATCGCTCTGACAAATTGTTTGAAGTTAATTTACTTCTTTTGAATGAAAACATTTACGTTTATTCAGAACTCGAAAAAAGAAAAAGATTTAAGTTACCGAGAGTTACCTACTGTGTAAGGTGTGTACCATTTTTTTGGGGCACCAAAATTTCTCCAGATTGAATCGGTGTCTCCCGTCGATATATGGTACAAGCGAGAAAGAGGAGGATGTTTGACAAAGGCCGTTTTTATTACGTTTACATTATTCAAATCACGAAAATAAATTAAAAAAATTCTATGAGCTTGGTTTAGTGTTTTGTTGGCAGCCGAGTCATAAAAACGGTTCTTATTATAACTCCTTTTACCATCAAACACGTATTTGTGTGTTTGTGTGTGCATTGTGTGTTTCCTTCCAAACCAAAAACGGTGACGTAGATGCAATAGAAGGTCATAAAAACGGATAGAGCTGAGGAAAGCGCACACATATACTAAAGACAATGACCGTAAAATGGAAAGGTATAAAGAGAGAGAGAGAGAGAGAAAGAGAGAGAGAGAGAGAGAGCAACAAACACACAAAAAATGCAAGTTAAACTGGCTATAAAAGTAATATTCACTTGGTTTATTATCCAGGAAGAATGTAAAGTCTTTTTTTTTTCAAATCCAAATTACCTATGTTATGGCTGTTCTATTATATGTGTACATTGCATTGCACTCACCGCTGTATTCTGGCTTACTCGAAACGCATACCAAATCATCCAGCATGTATATACATATAAAAACATAACCAAATACTATATTAATACATACACGCAACAACAACGGATAGTCTTTGCGTTTTACCACTTGAATACAGGCATAAATTTTGTGTGAATGCATGACCAAAAGCCAATTTATACTTGAATTTGTGCGGTTTTGCTGCTATTTTCACAGCCAAATTGTTACATTTTCAGTGGCAATGGAAAAGATTCATTTTATCCCCAATGCGTGCGTTTTATTTCTTTGTTCCATTATGCTGGCCCACTATTATCTAGTGCCCGTTTCGAAGAATAAATAACACCATATTTCGTGCATGGCTCCATTTTTCGAGTGACCATATCCATAAACTCGAAATGTTTTCGTGTGCTCGGTGCTATCGTTCTCCTTTGAGTTCATTCAATTTTAATGATTACTCAAAATATCAGCACAATAGTTTCTTTTGTTGCCTGTTTTCGTTCTCGTTCGCTTCCATCATCGTTGCTTCTTTCGATCTCTTTTCTTCACTTTACATGTGTCATTTATCAATAGCCAGCAAGAGAAAACGATGCACACAAACTCAAATACCATAAGACGAACGACTCACCAATAAGTGC